GGTCGTATCGTATATTCTCAAGACAACGCAAGAGAAGAAGCATATATAACTTCAAACTCACAAACTACCGAACAAATAAAGAAAGTAGATGTTTTCTCAAAGATTCGACATGAAGATGTATGGAGTCATTCGGGAACATGCAGAACAGGACAAATTGTTAGTGGTCCAATTACAGCAGGAAAATCATTTGATTTTAAGCTTCGTTTAAGAATTCCTGTTAGAAGATTCCTTCCATTAGAAGCTATTCGATTTATTCCAGCTTTTGCAGGAAACATTCAGCTTAAAGTAAAGTTCAGTAGCGACGCTTTACAATGCACATCTATATCTGTAAATGATATCATTGCTTTCAATCCAACTCTTAAGGTTGCATTTGCTTCAGATTCAAATCCACCGACAAATAAATTTGTTCCATGGAATGAACCATTCACTATGATAACGAAGGCAATAGAAGCTAGTGGAACAGTTACTATTACAACTGTAACCCAGCAACTATTTCGAACAAAGATGGATTTTAATGAATGTTTTATTCATCCAAAGTCATTCTCTTTAGACCCTAACATTTATACAGAACTTGTAGAACATTATACAAACGAGGCTTTATGTTTTCCTGTTAAAGTTATGGATTGGATTCCTATGGACGGTTCATTCTCAAAGAATACAGATAGTTCAAGTGCAACATTTACAGCAGCTTATACGCCTATTAATGTTAAAAGTATTTGGGCACTATTTAGAAAGAAAGACAACTATTATGTTAATTTTGAGAACCCTAAGTTTAAATATCTTCAGCTTTCCATGGGAGCTTATGGAAATATGCCTGCAGAACCTGAAAAATCATATGGACCTGTATTTTATGAAATGGTTGCGAACGCTTGCAATACAAACAATGATATGATAGGATTTAATGAAGATGTTATGAGGTCATTGGTGGATGATGGTAGTGTGGAACATAAATGGATAGTATGACAACACACATTTCTTATGTGGTTTTCCAACAGAAGTGGACTTTTGCTTCATGCAAGGTCAAACATCTACTGCTCCAATAACATACAAATTGTCTGTTAAAGGACCTATTGAACTAGCAACTGAAAATGTACCAAAGCCACTTATTGGATTTATGAGGGATTGTTGCTTTGCAATACAAGTAAGACAGTCAGGCATACCAATAATAAGATTAGATGACTATAACTTAGCAGCTGACGACAGTGAGGAATAAAGGATGAACGTTTATTTTTAAAGCTTATAAATGAGTTCTTCATCAAGCTCTCGTGAACCTTCACCATCTATGAAACAAACTTTACCAAACGATTATGGAGCACCTATTGAATATTTCTTACGAGCTGCACAATGGCAAAGAGCAGTCTCACCAAGGTTAGGTGTTCCACCAGCTCCTGTCAAAAATAGCATTTGGTCAAGTCCCTATATAAGATATGGTCTCCCACTAGGTTTGCTAGCTACAGCAGGAGCAGTAATGATGTTGAAAAGAAATAAAGCAAATATTGTAAATAATACTGAAGTAGCTGAAGTTAAACAAACTCCGACACCATCGCCAAAACCAACGTCAAAACCAACGCCTTCACAAGCAAAACCTTCAATGACTCCTGAACCTATGAAAGTACAAATTCCTGTTCAAAAGTCAACTCCAAAACCGACTCCAATATTTAAACCAGAACCCACACCACAAATAAATCGTAAAACTCCTGCGTTTCCTTACTGAAAAAATAACGTTAGTTTTATTTTATTTGAACATTTTATTTAGAGTAAAATGACGACTAAAGTCACTGAAGCAATGAAGCAAAAGTTTTTGGTAGAATACATTAAATCAGGAACTATTCCAGAAGGTTTTTACATTCATACTATGAAGGATGGTAGAGTTCAGTTTAGAAAGATAAAGCAACCATTAGATAGAGAAGGAATTTTGAGAAAGATTAAACTTCATGAAGACAACATTGCTGAACTGAAGAAGAAGTTAGAAGAGTTGGAGAAAGCAGACGACAGTGAGGAATAAAATATTTCATTAGTTTTATTTTTACTGAAAATTTTTATTTGGATGTAATGACGAAAACTATTGAGATAACAAACTACAACGGTCATGAGTTCAAGAACTTGTTCTTCGTTCCGCGTGAGAATACATTCTATCAGATACGAGGGAGAAAGGGTAAAGTTAGTTTAAGCATTTATGATAGTAAACATAATGGAAGATATATACAAGCAGTAGATACAAACGGTAAGCGTGTTTCATTACATTTGTCAAAACTTATAAACATTAATTATGACAGCGACTTTGACTCAGACGATTGGAGCGACAGTAGTGATACTGAAGAATATGAACTATTATGTGAAGCACAGCAATGGAAAGAGTTGCAATACTTTTGTAAATGAGAACGTTAGTGTGAACGTTAGTGTGTACGTTAGTGAGAACGTTAGTGAGAACGTTTATTTTTTTCATGCACGTGCATTGTGTCGCGGGGAGTTGCCATGGGCAATGACCTGCGCACAATATATAACGTACAGAGAGGTGAGATGAGGTGGTTTATATGATAAATACTTTACGTGGCAGAAATAGTTTAAGATTATTAGAAATATTGCATCTGCAATGTAAAATATACGTTAGCGGTTTTGTAAAGTGTCAGATTGACATATCTTCGGTAAGATGGCGCGCAGTGCCACCGTACTGAAGATATGTATACTAACTGATATTAACACCTAAGGGGCAAAAGTTAAAGTGTCTGCAAATGCTTTTAGTTAGTTTGAAAATAGTTTTATCCGAACCATCTAAACCTTCGAACTTAATAATATGATTATAATTTCTGATGGCATATCTAACAGCATCTTTATCATCAATGATTTTAATTTTCGACTCTATCGGGGACAAAATAGTTTTTCCATAAATACTGTTCAAAATTAATTTAATATTTTCTTGTAGCGGGTTTTCTTCCTTCTTATACTTTAATCTCAATTCAAACAATTTCTTTACTTCATCTCTTATTCTAAAATCTCTTTTTTCATCGTAGTAGTAACCCTGTAATACTTCGCAGCTGATGCCCTGATATTTTATTAAATCCTGCAAAACTATGTGGTCCACATACATTAAACAGCATGTGTTTGAACTTCTTGGAACCTTTAGCTCCGGGTTTAATTCTGGATCTACTGTTATTAATGGAAAGTGCCTTTTAATCTTAATCTCGGTTATTTTTATTAAAACAAAGAATCCGGAAATGAATTTCTCACCTTCAGGCTCGCCCTGGTCATCATCGAATAAATGTTTTAACAAATATTCAGTGCTTAACATTTCTTTCTTCATAACCTTTGGAATTCCTTCTAAAGTATAAAGTCTCGCGATAGCTGAGGGATATAATGAAACAGCATCGAAGTCAGCAATGAGTTTCTTTTCGCTCTTTTGTTTCATGTTATCTGACAGCATACATCTTCCACCTTGAATACAGCGTGAAATAAATTCTCTTGGTTTATTTGAAAGGTCATATAAATTTCCATTCGGGAAATATACTCTGTTTTCGAAAAGTTTGTTAGCGATTGAACAAATGCTAACGTAATCATAAACGTTTAAATCAAACTCTTTCAATATATCATTTCTGAACTTAACAAAACCTTCTCTTAAAATCCTTACGTCCTGTTTGCAATAAAATGAGCTATATTTTTCTAAATCGAAATGGTTTTCATCTATTCTGCAGTTTTCGATTAAATCTATGTTTTTCATGAACGTTTCAATATCTTTTACAAACTTACACGCTTCAGAAATTACGCCAGTTTTGTTATCATTAACTAATAAAGAGCTTGAATAATATTGATACGGAAATACTTCCTTTTCACCACACTGCAAATGAAACATTTCAGGAAATAGTTTAAGCTTCTTATTTATAACAGTGTATGAATCTTTAATAATGATTGCTTTACCTTTATATATTCCCGTTATCTGCATTGTTCTAGAACCCTTAATAATTGGTGTTCCGCTAATTTCTGTTAAATGTCTTAAAATGAAATTGATATCATAACTGAGGTTATGAAAATATATTAAACTTTTATCAGGAATTCTTTCTAAAAATTTTGTTGCACAATTTTGACCCCAAATGCTTTCGCTAATCTTTCCATCTTCACTATCATAACAAATGTTAAAGGCTTTATGAACTCCATCAGTGCTACATTCAAAGTCAGCGAAGAAAATGTGTTCAGGAATGAATTTTTGTTTTGATTTATCACTATCTTTACTTTCAGACTTTTTCTTTAACTGAACACAGTAGTTCGGGGTATAATTTAAATCTTTAAACGGTGCAAGTTTTTGTTTATATAAATCTGTTGTATAAGTGAAAAGTTCACCATAAGATAAGGTTCAAAGTAATTGCACTCTCTTAATGTTTTCAAAATATCCCATAAAGGAGTTGTTCGCGTAGAATCAATAACAAATCTATTTTCCCTTTTCTTATATATTTTCATTTGACGCTCAATATTCCAGCCGCCTAATGATTTGAGAATTTCGTTATAATTTATGATAAAATATGTTGTCATAGGTAATCTTTCATTTAACATGTAATGGTCTTCAACAAGAAGTAAGTCAATAGTTCGAACAGTTTCACATTCTTTTGGTATATATCTCTTTATTTCATTATGTCTAGAGTCATTGAAATAACCAATGGTAACATTAAATGCTATGCCTGTTGCGTTAGAAATTTCCTGAATCTTACTTTGTGGAAAATCTCTAACTCTAATAACTTCACGCATGTGGTCTACCGTCTGCTCATCAACTCCAGCCTGAATGCAAGCATAAACGAAGCAGTTATCTTCTGTCATCAACTTAGCAGTTCTTTTGTTAAGTTCATTGAAAATTTGATAGCGTTCAAGATTTATAGGTAATCTGCAAAATACTTCCAAAACTCACCACTTCTCTTTTTATTCGTTCTCTTTTCATCAAGAATTTCATTCCAAAAATCATCTATATCCTGTTTATCTCCTATTTCTTTAAGTCTGTTTAATAATCTTTGCTGACGTGCTGTTAATTTGCTTTCATCTCTTTTTTCTCTCTTCTGTGGCTTACCTTTCTTAATATCGCTCATCGTTAATCCTTCATATTCAGTTAAATCATACATTTTAATTTCTTCGAGGTTCTTAATATTTGTCATGAAGAAATCATAATGTTTTTCAATTATTCCGGCTGTGTTTGCTTCAATCTCTGTTATAAAGTTTTCTTGCTTTAACTGATGAAGTAAAGCTCCGATGTTCTCGATATTCAATGTTGAATTAGTAAATTTACCATCGAGTTTATAACAAATCATCCATTTTTGCTGTGAATTTACTTTTATCTTCTGCAGAAGCCTAATAAACATTTTACCGAAACGTTCATGTAGGTAATTTCTGTTTTCTTCATTGAGTTCTTTAATGTTAAAATCTATGATTCTATTTCCTGATTTAACATTTTTGCGTTTATTATTTTCATCCTTCTTTAACCATTTTTCGTCATCAAGAGCTTTATCGTTTATAGATTTAATAACTTCGTTTGCTTTGCGTAATTGTGCAATTGCTTTTGCATATTTTATAGCTATATTTTTCTTTTCTTCATCGCTTTTCTTCTTTCTCGTTTCACCTACATCAACATTTATCATATCATGAATTTCCTGCCTAACTTCCTTCGGTGCTGATTGTTTATGATATAAATTAACCTGAATATCATTTAAAGGAAATGTTTTGTTATTAATGTAATCATTAATTTTCTCGTAAGTGACTACACCTCTGTAATCATTGAGGTATTTAGCTAATGATGATTTATTAGTCGCATATCTTTTGCTAACTTCAATGTCAGCATTCTTCAATAACTTCTTAATTTCTTCATGGTCTAATCTAGATAGCTTTTTATACATCTTTTATGGAAAATAAAAAAAATATTTTCCGTAAAAAATATAATTTAAAAATAAACTTAATTTTTTAAAATAATTTATATTTTTAATTTTAATAAAATAATGTCTGAGTACAAGTTCTATTCATACAATGCTCTCGCTACTGCTGTTAAGAATGAATTCATAAATGGAAAAAACGTGAACGTAATATTAAATAAAAAGTTTGTGAAAGAATCTAAATACGGTCAGTTCGTTAAACCATACGCTATCATTATTGACAGAAAACGTTACACACCACATGAAATAGCAGTATTACTTAAACAAAGAGGAATATTTGTAAATATTAAAGATTCTCATTATACAATTATGAAGAACTCTAACGTTGAATTTTTCAGCATTGTTTTAGATTTATCGCAGCAGAAAGAATTCAAGAAGGCGCAAGGCGCCGAGATGGGCTCAAAGAGCCCTCCAGGTGAAGTAATAATGAAATATTATCCTTCATCTCTGAAGACGATAACAAATAAAGATGTTATTCATAAGCTCCTACCAGTAATTGAGGAAGCAACGATTGAATTGGATGAAGAAGGAACGGAAATGATTGAGGAAATAGACCCTGAAGCTTTATAAGAAAATTTATTTTTGAAGAACTGATGGTGTCACTACGTCATCATGTGTCACCTGGTTAATTAACTTCTTTTAAAAAGTGTGACAACACGACATTTAGACAACAGCATGGGTTGAATGCAAAAATATTTTTAGGAGAGAATGCAGCATTTATGAAATATTTTTGAAGAACTGATGGTGTCACTACGTCACCATGTGTCACCTGGTTAATTAACTTCTTTTAAAAAGTGTGACAACACGACATTTAGACAACAGCAAAGGTGGAAAGCAAAAATAAATTCCAATCATACTTTATACTGCAAGACCTTCAGGTCTCGCCGCTTAGCGGCTCATTTACAGGTATTTCATCGTCAGTAAATGAATCCTCATTATCGTTTGGTTCAACTTGTTTATATAATCCTTTCATTTCTTCTTTCAAAACATAACACCATGTTTGTTTACCATCTATTCTTCTCTGTTTCCTTTCACATTTATCCTTAATGCTCATTTGGAAATTCTTGTCTTTCATGTCTGATGGTTTGCAGCATAGAGCATTTTTACACGTCATACCTGCACACAATTCATCATAATGTGTATTTATCCATTCATCTAAAGGATTTGTTGATAACTCGATTAAATCTTGTTTGGCTTCAGTCATCGGTATGATTCGTACATTAAATGATGAAAGGTCATATTGCATAAAATATGTTAAAAGGTTATCATAAAATTCCTTTGTGCATGAATTCATCAAATTCTTGAAATAATCAAATTGACCCTTGAATTTACCATTAACTCTTAAAACTACGTATCTTCTGTCTCCAACTTCAATTTTGACAGGGTAAACGTTATTAGTTACGAAAATGAAATTGGCAACATTCTGAGCAGTTCTTCTGGGTTGATTCTTTTCATTAATTCTAATCTCATTATCCGTTATAATTGATTTCAAAGCGTTGAAGTTTGCGAGTCTATCTTCACCTACATTCTTGAGTTCATTAAGTACAAGAAACATTTTATTCTCAACTACTGAATTGAAATTACCCGTTAGCTCACTTATTTCAGTAATGTTTTTGATTGAATAACCAGCGAGAAGTTCAGAAATAATGTCTGTAAATCTGTTTTTACCTGTTCCCTGAAGTCCTTTCAAAATAATTGCTGTTTCATTCTTGATTCCAGGATGTTGAATCATTGATGCAATCCAGCCGAGAAGGTATTTATACACTTCATCGTTATTATCACAAATGGCTTCTTTAATGAAATCCATAAACATCTCAATTTTTGAGTAATCAGGCTTTTCGAGAACGTTGTATTTATAACCTTGAAACGTTGAGAAAACATCTGGAGAATCAGATTTAAAGCAAACACCCTTAACGGTTAATGAGGATAATTGATTTAGTAGTACATCCCATGCTGTTATTGTTTTACCTTCTTCTTTAAATAATTTAATCATTTTAAGTGACTCTTTCATGTTTGATTGAAGAACGAATGATATTTGATTCATTTTGTCGTGGATATTATAGTCCTTTTGAATGAAGTATTTATTTCCACAATCTACAAAACGGATTACACGTGATAAATCCTCAATTACTTCAGAACTGTTTTTATACTGATGATTTTCAGCCTTGCGTCTAATATCTGTTATCAAAAACGAGTCATCAAGTTTTATATCAAATGTTATTTTTGGCTTACGTAATAAAGGTAAAACGTATTCATCATAATATTCCTTTTGGTATAGTTTTAGAATCTTCACCAAAACAAATGGAGAAGTCATTAAATGTGCATATCTACTACGTACTTTTTCAAAATTACTTTTTGCATTTTCTGTTAAACTGCATAAGTTATAAACGTTATCGTAGGCTTCATTAATTAAATGATTAGGTAACGAATTAATAGCTTGAAACAGTGTGAATAATGTTATTTCTTTTTCTAAATTCATGTTTCCACCGTCATTATGTACTTCAAAATCACTAATACCATCGACTATGCTCTGGGTAAGTTTATCGTCAATGTTTACATCTTTGTTTTCATTCATTATACTCTTTATTTCTTCATTCTTTTGTTCAATTCTTACCTTAATATTCAAATCATATAATATATCATTCACTGTTCTAGTTAATGTTGAATCATAACTTCCACGAATGAATGAGTATGTTTTGATTGGTTCTGTTGCATTCTTGCGAACTCTTGAATCAGCCATAACCACTAATGAACGCTTTGAATCATCCATAGAAGTCATTATGTCAATATCGAAATCATTGCAGGAATAGCATTTAATCATTCTGTTCGAAACTGAATAGAAGAAATTAGTGTTACAATAAATATGAAGACCTCCTGAAGCGGTTTTAACGATAACATCTTTATCCGAAAGTTTTGATAAAATGTCTTTTCTAACTGTTTCTTTAAGTTCATCATTGTACGATTTATTGATATCAACATCTATAATAGTTAAATTTTGAATTTTATTTACTAATAAAGCCATACCAGTTTTCCTTCCTCTTCCTCCATCATGTTTGAGGTAGTTATGTAAATCAATCTTATTTTCACCAATTCTTTCGTTGAGGGTTTTAGTTTCTGCCACAACTAATTCCTCAGCTAATGAATCAATAACTTTTTCATCAGAAATGATAAAGTTGCTGTTGTTGTTTGTTGCTGTCATTTATATAGGAATAAAAAAATAAAAATAATTTTAAAACTAACTTTATTTTTGGGCTGCATCAAATTTCCAGGACTGTTGTCTAAATGTCATGTTGTCATCATTTTTAAAAGAAGTTAATTAACCTGGTGACACATGGTGACGTGGTGACACTGAAAACATTTACGAAATCATTAATGAAAACATTTACGAAAACATAAACGATAAAATTTATTTCCGGGACTGTTGTCTAAATGTCATGTTGTCATCATTTTTAAAAGAAGTTAATTAACCTTGTGACACTGAAAACATTTACGAAATCATTAATGATAAAATATATTTCTGCAGTTCATCCGTTACTTCATTATCTCATTAACTTCAGACATAAAATATATTTAGTTCATAAAAATTTTTGATTAATTTTGGCTTATTTTTATCCTTCCAGTAATCCTTTTCGAGTTCCGATAAATGTGTAGGGTTCGATTCTCTCAAATTTCTAGAAAGAATTTTATCATCCACACCTCCTTCATAAATGACAGTGTATTCATCTTTGTCTTCATCATAACTCACAATTTTATTAACTATACCTCTTTTCGCTTCATCAACCGTCTTAGCTAATCTTCCATTTTCGCTTTCAACTAATCGAAATCGTGGATAAAATGCGACCGAATGGTCAGCTGCTTTAATTAAATAACCATTACCCTGTGAGGAATCAACGATATAATAATCATCACTTAACTGATTTCTTACTTTTTCATGTGGTTTATGTTCAAGAATGATTCTAACTTTAGTTCCTGGCAGTAATGATGAACTTCTTCTTTCATCTGTTAACATTCTCTTTTGTTTTATGTATTCATCTTCCTCTTTTGAAGTCATTTCGTTTGGTTTAAATCCTGTGCTGTTATGGGTGGACTTATTATAAGCATTAATGACTTTATTCATTGATTCCTCCGTAAAATCTCTTTCTTTATTTAAATCTCTGAGCGTTCGAATGAAACGATTAATGATACCTAAAATATTATGGTTATGGTCTTCAGTCGTGTAATGAGTAACGTTATGTTTAATCAAAAATTCTGTAATTTCATTACTGAGGTATGCTGAATCCTGGTCTGAAGTTAATGAAGTGGGATGATGTTCTGCCACGAACGTCTGCAAAACTCTTAAAACTTCTTTTGTTCCTTTATTTTTCATTATATACGCAAAAGCTTTACGTGTATTAACATTAATGAAAATCAAAAATGGTGGCTTTCTTCCTTTCTTACTCTGAACGAGTGTATCAAATTGATATGCATCATGGGTTTTAGAATAAATGGGAAGGTAGTAGTCGTATGGATTAACTTTAACCTGATGAACTATATTTTCATCATAAAATCTCTTAATTTCTGTTCTATCATTAAATCCCGCATTCTTTGCAGCTTCATAGAATTTTTTAAATGACCTCCACGGTGATGATTCGAATACTTCTTTTAAACTCATTTATGTAAAAATAAATTTAGTAAATTTCATGCTGTTCGCTCTTTTGGAGCTCAGGACTTTCAGTCCGTTCTAACCCATGCATAAACCGTCATGTATGGAGGCATGTAGTCTGCACCCGAACCTGTTGGATTTGTTGTGAAAGTGTGTGAATGATTTCCTGCGGTTCCACAGAAAATACCTGCGCTTGAATCTACTGGGTCACTTGAAATATCATATCTATTCATTCCCTGTCTATCCGAACCTGCTGCAAGATTTGTATAACCTCTTTTTGTTATTGAATGTGAATGATTACCTGTTGTGTTTGTGGTTCCTGTATGCTTATGCGGTGGAAGGTTTGCTTCTAAAATTTTCTTTGAACCACCTGTTTGATTTGAAGAGTTAGCACAGTATAAGAATTTATCTACAATCTGCTGCCATGTACCAAAACCTAAAACACTTGCCGGATTTGTTGAGTTCATTGATGTATATAAAGAACCAACAGGATATATGGCTTGTAATATTTCATTCTTCATACTTGCAATTGCATTTGTTGCATTAGTTCTAAATTCATCGAAACCATCGAGAACTTTAGTAAGATTATTATATTCCACATTCTTTTGACCCGGTAACTGATGATGTAATTGAATATCATTAACTGTTAATGAATCTATGTTCGAAAATCTTTCATTAATTTTACCATTAACCGCATCATTTACTTCCGACTTCTTTGCATAATTTTCATTGACCCATTCCTTTGCTTCTTCTGTATAACTCATTGCTTTTGTATCATAACGATTTAATTCTTCATCTACATATATTTTGTCGGTTTTATTGGCTAAATCAACAACCATATCTCTTAGGTTAGTGCGCATATCTTCATCACGCATGCTTGATAAAGCAATAGCCCAATTCAATATTATCTCATCAGCTCTAATAGTTGAGAAGGAGTTATGTGTATGTTCTTTATCTGCTTTTTTATCTAACATTGCTGGTAGTTCATATGTTTCAAAGTTTTGAACATGACCTTCGATATTCATACATTTGTTATTTAAGGAGTTTAGTGTATCTTTTACGCTAGTGCTTGGATTCTCTAAAGGTGCACTTGAACCAAGGGTATAGTTCAATATTATGTCGTCTGCTCTAACAGTAGTGAAGGATTCATGCGTATGATTTTTGTCTGCTTTACTATTTAATGTAGCTTGAAGTTCATTTATATCGGAGATATTGTGTTTATGAGATTTCAAAACTTTGTTCATTGCGTCAAGTTCATCTTTGTCAGCTTTACTTTTAATAGCATCTTCAAAAGTTATTTTTGCCTTAACTCTTAACATAAATCTTGGTTCAACTAATACATCGTTAACAAAGAAACTAGAGGCATAAATTTCATTGTTATAACCAAATGCTTCTGGTGCTTTACCTGTGTCATACTGTACAGTACAGCGTATGTCATAACCTTCAGCACGAATGTATTTATATCTTCTTTCATTAACATCTTTCGTCTTCACTCTTTCTTCAGTTCGTGTTAAATATTCATGATAATCCGTTATAATCTGTTCATCTGAACTTATATAATGAACATGGTTCGTGACTCTATCGCTCAGAGCTAAAAGCTCATTTTTGTCTGCCTTACTATCTAATTTCTCATTAACATCATTCACCTCTAATTCAACCCTTCCACCAGAACTCTTATTATCATTAATCTTTTTCATTAATTCAGTAATTACGTCATAAAGACTATATTCTGTTTTCGGTTCTGTAAATAATGAGTCAAAATTTCTTTTCATCATTACATCGCTGACATTTATGATATCATCAATACCTTTTTCATTTATTCTCTTCATTAGTTCTGCAATAATGACGAATATATAATCTGTTAATTTATTCTCTTCATCAAGGGTTATAGAATGATTTGAAATCGAATCATTAACACCTCTAAATAAATCAATAACTTCAGGATACACGTTTTTAATGTCTCGAATAACCTGCCCCGTATCCTCTGGTTCTCCTCTTCTTCATGGGCTTCGCCCTCGCCGCTACGCGGCTTTATGTCTCTAGCCATCATCAACGCAGCCATAACCGGAGGATTTGTTGCTACCTGTTCGAAAATCTGTCCGTTATGTACGGTATATCTAAATAATTTCTTTGTGTTTGTTAAAACATTTGAAACAAGTCTTTTAAAACCATCCACAAAATTTCCCGTTTCACCTAATGTTCTTGCAGCATCTACAAGCTCACCCATTCCCGCTTTCGACCCCAAAAACGTCCATATTGCATTTATCTCACTCTGTATAGCTGTCCATTCAGCGAAACTAACACCCGCATTCGCTAAGTCGAAAATGAAACCCAGTGGATCGAACTTAATTCCGCCTTCTTTTTCAATTTCAACGAACTCACTAACATGAGATTTTAAATATTCTTTCGTTAAAATCGTTTTTCCTGATGTCATGCTGTTAACGGAACTATCACCGTCAAAAGTTAACGAATTCAATTTCGTCATTGATGCTTTTATTTCATACACCGCTTTATCAATAGTTTTTGGCTCACCTTCTTTAGAAGTGTATGAAACATTAATGAATGAATTATATGTATTCATGAATGAGTTAAAATCAATGATTTTCATTAATGAAGCCTTTAATGATTCATTTACTGTCGAATCCCTTAAAGCAATTAATGAAACATCGTTAATGAAAGGTACTCTGCAAACCGTCGAGTTAGGGTCAAATGCCGTAGTCGGAGAAGGAGTATTAATTATATAAGTCATTAAATCATTAAGTGATGCAAATAATGTTGTAATTCTTGATTTAATTTCTTTAGCTTCCGTTATATACGGTAATTTTATTTCTGTAGTTTCTGAATTAAAGATATTCGCTAAAATGTTTTGTAAACTGTTTTGGACAGCTGCGTAAACCGTTGAATTCGGAACCCTTACGATTTCACCATCCTTAATAAAGGGCATTGCACATGGCGTAGTGCTTGGGTCAAATCTTTCGGGATTATAATTCAACATATATTCTAATGCTTCATAAACAGACCTATAAACCGTTGTATTATCTTTTTCAATAATTTCACCGTCTTTTATAAACAGCATTGTACATGGCGTTAATATTGGAATAAATTTTTCATATTCTTTCCATGAGATATAATGTTCAGTTTTTCCATCAGTGATTATTAAACATTCATCATCAAATGAAAACGTGTATGAACCGAAAATTAATCTTTTCGCTCTATCAGCTTCATAAGAATATGCGGATATACTCATATTTTTAATTAGAATAAAAATGTTGTTCTATTTGCAAAGTACAGACCCTAATGATTACGGGACATTAAAATTACAAACTAACCTTGGTCTTCAGAATGAACCACTAGCTTTCAGAGTTCTTGATTTTAGCACTATCGCTTCATTTGTTATAACAGACACTAACGATTTCATTACTTTTGAAATTGATGGTATTAGTACTGAAATTCATTTTAAAGCAAGAAATAAATATGATATTGATACGTTAGAGAAAAAGATTCAGGATCTCATTGATGAAAAATTTAATGGAGCCCTTAACTGTGAATTAACTGATTCAGGAATAATAAAATTTAGTTCCGAAAAAGAATTTAAAATTACTGATATGACTCATCGAGCACGTTTATTATAGGTGCTTATCATCAAGAATTACCATTAAAATCTTCTATTGAAAATCAAAAATATATAATTGAAATGAAGTCTGCGCCCTACATCTGTTATGGAAACTGTTTATATGTTGAATCAAAAATAAGTAATGTAACAGGAATTTCAGGAGTTAATAATAAAAATGCTGTTATAGAATATAAATCGTTCTGTTACGCCGTTAATTCTGTATTCATGCCTAATTTTCCGATTTTATTAAGACACGAAGGCAAATGGGTTAGAATTCAACCACACCATTTAAAAGATATGACATTTAGATTAGTTGATTTTCAAGGCGAACCAATTGAAATTAAAGCTCCTGTGCAGATGACTATAGAAGTTGATTTTTGGTCTAATATAAGAGCTAATGGACTAAATGATGAACCAGGGACCTAATAAAAATATAAATCTTAAATTAATTCGTTAAAACATATTTCAAGCAAAGTTTATATTCTGTTGAAAGTTTTGTGTATTCATTCGAATATTTATATTTAAACTCAACTCCTGTAGTTCCTGGTGTTTTAATTATTCTAATACTACCGATTTTCATGAATACTGGCATCTGACCGCAACATTCGATTTCAGGGTCGAGATAATCAATAACGCACTGTTTACCTGTTATTCTTGATATAACATTTTCTAAATCCTCCTTTGTTAAAATTATTTGATTCTTACTAATAAGATTTGTCAAAAGCTTCTTATCGTCTTTGAGTAATATTCTTTGATATAAATTAAGGAGGTAATGGTCTACGTTATCTGAAGGATTAGTTTGAATAGTTGAATATGGATTGTCGTTGGCATCACGCGATATGATTGGTTCTAATGGAAGTGTATATTCTAACTTAACTTCACTGTTAGCGTTTGTGTTTGAAGCTGTGTTTAAATTAACGGATTTCGGCTCTGGCTCTTTATCTTTCAAGTTTTCGGAGCTGTAATTTTTGATTATAATATTATTTGTCGTTCTTGAATCAACATTCGACGTCGGTTCAATAGGAACATTCACTGCACCGGCTAAGATGGATTTACTTCTCATTTTCTAGAGAATAAAAACCTTTTATTACTATAAAAATGAATAATATCTTTGATAAAGGTTTAAACGTGAAACTTGAAAATGAAAATCTTGTTGAATTCACTGAAACGGGCGCAGTTTATAAAGATGTTGAGGTGTTAAATAAGAAATCAAAAGGCAGAAGTCGAAATATGAACATCGATTATAAACCATTTACTATTTACGTTAATGATGGTTCTGGTGGTTCAAACATTAAATATGCAGAAAATAATAGAGTTTATGCGTTAAAAGGTGAAGCACCATCGATTAAAAACAGTTATTCTAATCTTTATCCTCAAAAACTGACTGATCCAGAAAGTGTGGACATGAATGACACCAAAAATATAAACAGAAATGGTGATAGAGATGGATGGAATCTATTCACTACACCTCATCTAAAAATAAAGCTTTAAAATAATGTTGGTCTTTCCCAAGGTATATTTTTAACATTAATTGTATTAGTCATTATATGAATTTCTAAATATGAACGTGGTGAAATGAGTGATTTATAAGCATCCCAGATTTCATCAAAAGGTAATGTTATTCCTGATTGCTTCAAAATTAATTCTATATCGTATTTTGAGAAGCCTTGAAATATAACGAAATCAGTAATTAAACGTTTTATGTTTAATGCTAAAAACCTCCACGTTTGCATTAGTATTGCTACAGTCATGTGATAATGTCTGACTTTAGTAATTAAATTAGCTAATGGTGAATCTGGTTTTGAAACTAAACCTTTACCAGCGAAATCATCACAAACTAATAAAGTGTTTGATGGATATTTTTTAAAAGGATATTTTGAAAGTTTTGAGAGAATGTAGTTTGTCAATCGTTTCATATCATACGTACCATCCTGCTGTCTCAAATGATGTTTATCAATAATTCTTTCCATTTCTTCCGAGGTCTTTTGCATTCCTGATTGTATAAATTCAACTATTGCATAATATTTCTTCTTTCTTCTTATATAACGTTGAAGAAAAGAAATTAATTCACTATCCGGAACCTTCACCACTGATGCCTGAACTTTACCCATAAACGTCTTCGATGTTGAATCCATTGAATCTGAAGTTGCTGATATAATGATTTGGTCATAATATGAATCTTGACCTAATCGTTCAGTAATTAAAATATGACGTATTAAATTAAAAGTCTTTCCTGAACCCATTTTTCCACAATAGAAATACACACCGTTTGAACAGAACTGATAATCCTTACTGAAGGGAAGAATTAAAGAACTATTGAGTTTATCAGATTTTTCATTCATTTTTTCATCTACTTCTTCAAATAAATGTTTCATTTTATTATAATTAAAAATGCAAGTCAGAAATTTTGTT